CCATTTCCATCAAAGCTCGCTCAGGTAGGACGTTTGGCTAATGAGGGCGGGCGGTGGAACATTAGCCGTGTGCAAGTCCGAGGGTAGCCACCGGATCGATGGTACCATCAGATCGATGATACCATCACATCGATGATACCATCAAATGATACCATTAGATCGATGATACCATCAAATCGGTGATACCATCAGATCGATGATACCATCACATCGATGATACCATCAGACCGATGATACCATCAGATCTATCACATGAATATTTAAACTCTACTGCTGCCTTTTCCCTCTCTAAAACTTTTTTTAAAAATTGTAATGTTTCACCAACCGGTCTACGTCAGAAATTTAGATTGATAATAAAGCCCACGCCTTTAAAAAAAATGGGCCAGTGGCTGTCTAAACCAGTGGCTCGTGAAAAAGCCCAATGGGCCAAAAGATGAAGAGATCGATAAACCATAGGTTAGGTCGGGCTTTGGTTTATCCGTCAACATCTCGGATTTCGGTCAGGGAGAAATGGAGGGGGGGGGGGGGAAGAACCGACAGAAATACCCGGCTTGTGGATAATTGTGGTTGAGCAGGAATATCATCAGATGATTGTGGTTGAGCGGGAATATCATCAGTCATGCACTCACCAGTCGCTCCGTCCAACACACGGTGCAGACTGAACCCGAACACTACTGACAGCAAACCATACATACAATACATACAACTGTACACACACAACACCCGTACAACAACCCTAAACACCAACACACAAGTCCGGCAACACCAACATCAACCAACATCTGCAAAAATCACACCCAACCGCCTAACATCCAAGAAAAATGATGGTGTTGATTACTAATCCAACAATTAGTCAATCCTTCTGTCACTCTATACAATTTTTTATCCTCCTCCCAACCTCGCAACAATCTCACTTACAATCACATCTATCCTGAAGTAATTATCCAAACAATCACATTTATCCTTAAGTAGCTATCCCAATAATCACAGTTATCCTTTAACAAATATCCCACCACAACAATCACATTTCTCCCTTTGTCAATATCCCTCAGAATCACACAACTCTCCGCTTCAGAGCTGGGGTGGTTTTGTTATCCCAAATTAAATTATCCCAATTTTTTATCCTATTTTTAGCTGCTGGTGGCATCGCCTTATCTCTCCCGCCTATCGTTAACTCTATTCAAATGAATGAAATTGCGTTCAGCGAGTTCGACGCGAGATTTAAGTTTCATATTTCCTTCATCAGATCAATTGTATTTCAGTCCGTCCCCGCCCAAACAAGGGGACATTACTCCAACAACAAATTATCTCCCTTCCCCCTCCTCGGTTGCCAAACTTGTAAAAACGTAAAACGGTTCCACAGAAACTGACCGTTATTTACAGTTCCTACTTTAAAATCTAAGACCAGAGAAAGGGGGGAGAATTTCGAGCTATCTTTTACTTCCCCTTCTGTCGGTGACCTTGCCCTTCAATTCCATGGACCATTGCTCCAATGGGGCGGGTGAAAGGCGGGGGGAGGGGCCGCTCTAATGGGTTCAAGACTTGGACTTAAGACGATTGCTGGGTTTTTTTTTTTGGACGTGACTCCACACAACGATCGGGGTGGCTGTGTTTTATTCACACACAAAACCCCAATCAAAGCTCGGAGGGGGGGTCAATGCCCTCGTTCTACAGTCGTGTGATGGGGGTCAAGATGTGGATTATATTGTGGATTAAGGTGTGGGTTCCCTTGCGGATTAAGCTTATCTGGGATTAGTTGGACACCAGTTAAACACTGACCACTTGGTTTTATGTGAGTGGGGGGGGGGGGGGGATAATGATTTTAGGGGGAAATGGGATAAAATAATTGTAAAAACGCATAAATATTTTTACAGAGAAATTACTTAATCACAGAAACAAACGCAATGAAAGAACATTGTAAAATCTCCCAGTTCAAATTAAATCCAATGTTAGCGTCTCTCTCTGTGTACGACACGATTCTGCTCAAGCGATTGGTTGTCGCCCCTTTCCTGTGGTAGCCAATGTTGTTGTTTGTTACCTCCCTGTCGTATGTTTGCCTGTACACGTAGTATTGATGCTAGTTGCCTACCTTCGATTCTACCCAACATTGTTACTTTGATACCTCAGCACACTTTACCTCATCATACTTTACCTCAGCATACTTTACCTCAGCATACTTTACCTCAGCATACTTTACCTCAGCATACTTTACCTCAGCACACTGTATGTCAGCAGACATTACCTCAGCATACTTTACCTCAGCACACTTTACCTCAGCATACTTTACCTCAGCACACTTTACCTCAGCACACTTTACCTCAGCACACTTTACCTCAGCACACTTTACCTCAGCACACTGTATGTCAGCAGACAATACCTCAGCATACTTTATGTCAGCAGACTAACACAATGTCTCCACATGCACATCAAAGACAGACATCGATCTATGGTTATTCCCTCTGTGGGGGGGGGGGGGGGGAGGCGACTAATTAATTATATCTGAGCTAAGTGCCCCGCCCTGTCATCGATTGGGTTTATTGCTGACCCAAGACTGCTGGTCTATGTTGGCCGGACTGCCGGTCTCTCGAGGGCCGGACTGCCGGTCTATGGTGGACCACTGCTTCGTTAGTCCCTCACCCAACTCTCCATAAGGTAATCACCCGCAATTAGTTGTCTCGTGCACAATCAGCCCGAGCTACTACATGCATGTAATGACTTACACGTGATTACATGCATGTAATGACTTACACGTGATTACATGAATGTAATGACTTACAAGTGATTACATGCATGTAATGACTTACACGTGATTACATGCATGTAATGACTTACAAGTGATTACATGGAAATAATTACATCGGGTGAGCTTAATGAGCAGAAGCAAATAAGTTTCTAATGACGTACTTTGTGCAGCTTTTACCTGGCTTAATTGCGGCCCCTGGCACTGGTACCTGCGGCCCCTAGCTCTGGTACCTGCATCACACAGGTGCCAGACAATAGGGCTGAGTTTGTCGTTGATCACATCTGGTCAGCGGGTCAACAGCACGCGAGTGTGCTGCATATTGTGCTGTTTGGTGGTGTTGTTTACTGATGATGTTTACTGGTGATGTTTGGTGATGCTGTTATATGATGTTGTTTACTGATGATGTTATTGTGTGGTGATGTTTGGTGATGCTGTTATGTGATGTTGTTTACTGATGATGTTAATGTTTGGTGGTGTCGTTAGGTGGTGCTGTTTGGTAATGCTGTTTACTGATGATGTTTGGCGATGCTGTTAGGTGGTGTTAGAGTGCACTGTTTATCCCTTGTTTGGACATCGTTACGTGTCAGTGAACCCACAAACACGGTTTTTGCTGAAGTCATTGGGGAATTACTGAAGCCAACTGACAAACGAGAGATTCAGTTTTGTTAGGTACAAGTGATAACGTTCTTTGTGGTGTACTAATTGGAGGTTTTGTGTGGTGTACTAATTGGAGGTTTTGTGTGGTGTACAGATGACACATATTTTGCGTTGTGTACACATGACATTAATTGTGGGGTCTACACGTCCACAGATTTCTTATTTCAAAGTCTTTGAACTTCTTACTCTCATGTTGGCTCTATTAGAAGTGTTGAATATACTTCTCGCTGTTCGACTCCAGCCTCAACATTCTGTCTATTCTCCCGCCCTGACCACTCCCCCGCCCAGTGGATAGTTAAGGGCGACATTTTTTTTTTCTAGTAGAAGCAGCAAACGGCGTCAAACTACGCCAGCCCGCCCGTGAATAATTCATCCACACTTAGACCCCCGGGCCGCCATCCCGGGCAGGAGATAATGTTTGTGAGAACACCCAAAAGCTTTTAATTCGGCTGACCAGATAGATGTTTGCGTTGGTTAACGACATCCACCCCACAATCATGTCCCGGCCACGGGCGCTGATTGGCAGGGGGATCTAGTCTTTGACAGCGATATGAGCGGCCAATACCCGCTCAAATACTCGGCCAATACCCGCTCAAATACTCGGCCAATACCCGCTCAAATACTCGGCCATTTCCCATCACAGGAAACCGCATTATGGCCTTCCAAACGGTGACCTACATTTAACAATCGATATATATATATATATATATATATATATATATATATATATATATATATATATATATATATATATATATATATATATATATATATATATATAATGTATGATGTAAATTGCATCATGAGCTCTGATATAATTTGTCCTTGATACATAACTTCACAGTATAAAAAAAAATCCCGCCCGCGTAAATGTTTTCCATGTAATATTAAAACGTTTCTGGAGAAATTATTAGGAGTATTTCCTCATAACTGCATTTCAAATCGTCCTCTCCAATAGCAATTACCCCCCCCCCCCTCCCCGATCAACTCCCAACAAATGGACCTCCCCGTGATCTCTTCTGTCTGGAAACTTTTTTTTTCCCTTCCCAACGTGAGCGGGGGTCGACCCAGTCTTCGACAATAAATTGCGTTCTTGCGTCTTCAATCTATTTTCAATGCCGCCAGAAAAAAAAAAGTCTCCGAGAAATATTCCTGGGAATGTAGACACCTGCCCGGTGTTTCTCTCCACGTCTTTCATGTCCAGCACTTCCTGTCGGCCATTATGCCGGAACTCAGTCTTGGAGAACCTGTAACGTCCCGCGCCACCCGCCACCCTCCGCAGCTCATCCCATTTTTCCGGCCACTTATCCTGCTGGCCACCATAAAAGCTCTTAATCCTAAATGATGGCCAGCGACTGAAGGTCCACCATGTGGGCTGTCCCCGCGGGCCAGCTAATCCGGGCTCTATTATCTCCCCGCTGCATCTGCCCTAACAGGCCATCATGGAGCGGAGCCCGCTTAAGGCCAACTGCTCCTCTCTCGTCCTCACTTCAAGATTAATCGAATTTTTTTTTTACTTTAGTTCTGGCAATCATTCACTTGTAGCTTGGGGGGGGGGTGGTGGAAATATAAGATTATCAACTTGTATTCTATTTTCTAGGTCACTGTCGCCCAATGCAATACAGCGTCCAGCGTAGCCAGAGTGTGAGTACTTCCTATGACGTCACTGTTGCTGGTGACAACGATGTCGTCAAGCGAATCCTCGCGGGTGTTGGCCGCTACGTCATCAATGTCCCCATTCGACCTGCTGACGTCAGCTCCCGCTAGAGACCTGGACGCCGACATCCGGGACTTCTGGTCCTCCTTCCCCTGCCCGCCCCCGTGGAAGCCACGTCTGCTGATCGAGGTCAACTCATCTCGTCTGCTGCCTCACATCAGGAACGTCCAGACGTTTTTGGCGGGAAAATGCGAGATTAAACACATCCTTTTCCCGTCTGATGTTGACCCGAACCTCGGCCCCCAGCGCGGGAACGCTGACGTAGACTTCCGGCTTACTGAGGCCCCAGACCACGGGTCACCGCTGGGTGACCTCGCGACGTCCGAGCACACGTGGTGTGACGTGCCCTGCCAACTGTCCATTGGGAGCGCCATCTTTTTTGTCGTGGTCGTCATGCTGGTGGCCATGCTCGTCTGTGTTACCAAGTAAGTATCGTCTGCTACACATATCGTCTGCTCCATATATCGTCTGCTCCATACCTTATTCTAAGTTGTACAAAGTATCGTCCATTCGATACCTTATTCTTTGTATTCCCGGATCGATACCTCATTCTAAGTGGTACCAAGTAAGTATTGTGTCGTGACTACCACAGTTAGAGTGCGTATCGCCAGAGGCGTAGCGACCCTTCCCGGCGCCTGGGGACAAACTTTCGATTTGCACCCCCCCCCCTCAAACTTTCAATTTGTTTTTCCAACCCATTTTGGCGCCCCCTAAGGTCGGCGCCCGGGCCCCCCCCCCCCCCCCCCCTCACTACGCCTCTGCGTATCGCCTCGTCTAATTATTGCCTGCCAGCTGATTTTATATTTTGTTAATTTTTTTTTCCATTCTCTCCCAGACACCGTGTACGTCACAAGATGGCCGCCACACGTCCTTCCCGTCAACAGCTACAGCTCAGTACGTCAACCAGCGACGCCGTCAACTGTACAGATTTTTCTAACCTCGAGGTCAGCTTGCCACTTTTACTATAAACTTCCTCGAGTTGCCTAAAAGTTCCCTAAAGTTAAGTTATCTAAAAGTTCCATAACAATTATGATGCATTTAACTACTTATAAATATTTGTCATTAAATTGGATATACATTACTTACTTACATCAATTCATGCCAGGTTTGCCAGTAGCCTGCACTTCTTCTTCCATCTCTCTCCTCCATGTTCCCAGTGGTCTTCCTCTCTTCCGCTTATAATCTGGTATGAACACTACATTTAGTAACCTGATGTTTGCTTTAAATCCAGGTTCAAGGCGATGATGACCTTATCTACCCACCATTTCGCCATCGTGGCCTTCCCAACCCACCTGCAGCCTGCCACCCCTCATGTGATCCCAAGTGGAACTGCCCATCGTGCGCGTCCCGCCACCCCCTGATGCGGCTGAGTCCAACCGACCAGTGCTACTCCAGGGCCTACTCGGCTGTCTACGAAACCATCGATGACGACGACGACGACGACGACGTGAAAAAAACAGACACGACGCACAACAAACCAAGGGGGAGAACCCCATCAAAATCAAACAGCAGGGAGTCATACAACAGTTGCTCCCCCTGTCAGACCTCGCCCACCAGCATCAGCACGGTACAGATTCGCCCTCGTGCCAACGACGACAGCCGCGGCGTGCGACAGATCGCAGAGACCGGCTTCAACGGCGAGGAGGGGGACATCCACGCGCTGTCCCTGCTGCCCAATTACTTTGAACTTGACCACAGCTGTGCCTTGTCCGAGCTGTCCTCCCTGGACACGTTCTGCCCGCAGCCGGCCAGGACAGCCGAGCTGGTCACGGCCTGCTGCACCAGGAACAGCCAGATGACGTCACACCCAGCCCAGTACCCCAACCTCTCGGGGATGGCGCTACATTCCTTCCTGATGACCCAGATTCACCAGGACGTCATACCGACCAGCGACCTCCTGCAGACGACCAATCCCCCGGGCTGTCACCTGGAGGAACTGCGCTCACCCCCAGCTCACACACATTCCAGGTCGCCGCACGTGATGGCGCCCACCCCGCCCCAGCACACCATGTTCTCGCGTGGACTTAATGGCTACGACTACGGCCAGTCTTTGAGCGGGTACCACCCCAGCGAGATGTTCACCAACTACAACACTATGGACCCCACCCCCAGCCCCTTCTACTGCCCCAGCTGTGTCCACAGTCCCGTGACCGGAAGTAGCACCCACGTGACCGGTACATCGTTGCAAGGCCCCGGGGGTCGGGACCAGGCCGGCATCATTGGCCCTGACCTCCTGAAGGAAGCATCCAATCAGATGATCCAGGAGCTGACTGTCCCCCAGCCTCCACAGGCACGGGATGAGAACCACGAGGTTCCCCTGAGGAAGCCGGTTCTTGCCTTACACTCACAATATTTCGCCAAGACTTCAGCAGCTTAGATCTTAAGGTCAAAGGTCGCTCATGTTTTCTATTTGATTGTTCTTATTTCCTGTATTTCCTTGTGTTTATAAACCATGTTGTATATTGTTTGTTTATTACTTCATGCCGAGGTTCTCAATGTGGACATCCCTGACTCACCAGGTCAGTGTAATGTCAGTTGTGAGTGAGGGTATATCGAAGTAGTTTAAGGGTCTGAAGCAACCTATGGACCCTGTTTAAGGTATTAAACCGTACGCTAACATGCGTGTTCAGTTGACCACATGTAGGACGGACGTTCTAATTCACGCAGACGTTTTTAGAATTCAAATGTTTTCTTACCACACTGTAGCACCACTAGCAGACGACAGTTAAACCAACAGCACAAGTAGCAGACGACACCTAAACATGTTGCACTAGGTAAGCTATCACGTGATCAAGGACCTGTATGCCACTAGGATTGTGGGAACGAATTCAGTTAGTACAAACTCCACGGGACTCAAGCGAACCAGTCGATGCGATGTTCTCTTAACCAAGGGAGATTACTGTTAGTAAAGACAAATTTAAAGTCTCTATGCTTGCTCGCCCTTAGACGACTTTCTGTATAGGGTGGCAGGTGGGGTTGTGATGTCAACATTTGAGAACCTTTGCTTTCATGGAAACTTGTTCAAAGTGATGAAAATAAATTTTGTTGTCTTGAGACTTGAGTTCAGCTTTTGAAGCGGTAGATGGCATGTGTGTGCACCAAGTTGCTGTTTTGATGTTGTTTTTTAGTTAGTTTTTTTTTTTAAACAAAGTGGATAGTATCGAGAGACAGTATATTGAGCACCAATTTTTCTTTGGTGAAAGAAAGAAAGTTTTACAAGCTTTTATCTTTTATTTTACTTGCTTCCTCGTCCAGTCTGTCGTCATATATCGAAAAGCTCGAACGAAATTTCGGGCACTTTTAACTGACAGATTCGTTTCAAAGTCGCCGCGTTGGTCAAGACATGAAGACAATGCAATCTGACATTAAATTTGACTTAATTGGAAGCCTAATTAATTTTTTATGAATTAATTAAAATCTTGTCCAAATTAGTAGGCAGTCTTATCCAAATACCCCTCACTGTTATCATGTTCATTAGGTGCGCAATAGTTTTTAGTCATGCAACTCTATTGTAAATAAAAACATTTTTAAGTGCTGAAAAAAAATCTTAAAAACTGATCATCGGATCGTGAGCCACGCACCAAGTTTAAAAGAAATTAGTGCGCTAGAAGTGGTCAAATTTCACTCGCCACTTTCGACCCATAAGACAAAGTACGAGAAGGCATATTAATTTTAAAAATCTGGTCAGAACAAGAAGTAAACATTAGTAGGCGTATTTTAATAAAGGAAAAAAGTAACAAGGTTAAGATACTGAAACCTTTAAATCGGCCTGCAAACACTTTTGTGGGATACAAAATAATATGGTGATTTAAAATGATAGGCTAAGGTTTGGGGAGGGGGGGGGGGGGCAAAAAATTTTTGTCACAATCCCTCCCGCCCACAGAGGTACGTGACATCACAAACAAAAAATAAGCTAAATATAGTTACGTTTCCTTTACGGAACTTTCCGTTATGGAACTTTCCGCAGCTAAGTTGTGAAGCACTTGAAGGTAAAGTAGGTTTTAGCCAAAAGTGCATCACAGTGCACTTGTAGGTCACCGTGCTCTCACAGTCCGTCAACACTTACCGTGATCGTCTGGATACATCGATGCCGAACACGGTCGACTGCGGCCCACGTGTCTGACACAAGCTTCCGTTAGCAAGACGGTGCGGGCGGCAGACGTGTTGTAAATAACATTGTGGGACAGTTAAGTGTGGCAGGGCGGGGCTCCCATGTCAAGTGGCTGGTCAAACAAGTCATTTCCTCTGTCAGACCTGCTTCACTCGGTGGACGCGGGCTTTTTTACGATCATTTTATATGCATATATGTAGAATACATATATATATATATATATATATATATATATATATATATATATATATATATATATATATATATATATATATATATATATATATATAATGTGCCTATATAGAGTAGCTATGAGTAACTTTAGTAGCTAATAAGTCATAAACATGCATCTAGGGCCCTCCACCCCCCCCCCCCGAAAGAAACAAGAAACCCTGCACATTAATCAGTCCGCTTTAACCTGGACTAAACCCTAGCCGCCACAACAGCTTGACGTCACACAGTTGCCAGAGTTTGTACTGAAGGTTTGACACCAGTCAGGACGTCCCTGTTTGAACGGGTTCACTGAGTGCACTTACCTGGTCGTGCAGGTAGATGTGCCAGATAAGGCCCATCCCACTGTATTCGTCTGCTCGATAGTTTGAACAGAGCACCTGGCTACAAAAGTTGTGGGGTTTTCTCTGGAGGCGGGTTTTGTTGTTGGGGCAGGTTTATGGTGTGGTTATTTGTGGATGGGCTTGTGGGCGGGTTTATGGTGTGGTTATTTGTGGATGGGCATGTGGGCGGGTTTATGGTGTGGTTATTTGTGGATGGGCTTGTGGGCGGGTTTATGGTGTGGTTATTTGTGGATGGGCATGTGGGCGGGTTTATGGTGTGGTTATTTGTGGATGGGCATGTGGGCGGGTTTATGGTGTGGTTATTTGTGGATGGGCATGTGGGCGGGTTTATGGTGTGGTTATTTGTGGATGGGCTTGTGGGCGGGTTTATGGTGTGGTTATTTGTGGATGGGCTTGTGGGCGGGGTTATGATGTGGTTATTTGTGGATGGGCTTGTGGGCGGGGTTATGGTGTGGTTATTTGTGGATGGGCTTGTGGGCGGGTTTATGGTGTGGTTATTTGTGGATGGGCTTGTGGGCGGGGTTATGATGTGGTTATTTGTGGATGGGCTTGTGGGCGGGGTTATGGTGTGGTTATTTGTGGATGGGCTTGTGGGCGGGTTTATGGTGTGGTTATTTGTGGATGGGCTTGTGGGCGGGGTTATGGTTTGGTTATTTGTGGATGGGCTTTTGGGCGGGTTGATGGTGTGGTTATTTGTGGATGGGCTTGTGGGCGGGTTTGTGGTTGGTTATTTGTGGATGGGCTTGTGGGCGGGGTTATGGTGTGGTTATTTGTGGATGAGCTTGTGGGCGGGTTGATGGTGTGGTTATTTGTGGATGGGCTTTTGGGCGGGTTGATGGTGTGGTTATTTGTGGATGGGCTTGTGGGCGGGGTTGATGGTGTGGTTATTTGTGGATGGGCTTTTGGGCGGGTTGATGGTGTGGTTATTTGTGGATGGGCTTGTGGGCGGGTTGATTGTGTGGTTATTTGTGGATGGGCTTGTGGGCGGGGTTTATGGTGTGGTTATTTGTGGATGGGCTTGTGAGCGGGTTTGTGGTCCTTTTTATGAACGAGTTTGTGATCTTGTAACTCCCCCCCCCCCCGTTTCTTTGCACAAAGGTGCATCTTCGATCACATCGCAACAATATCTAACGTTGATCAAAGAAACTTGAGATTATTAAAAATGTATTTAAATTTGATCCTAATGTGTTATAAAGTTCTATCGATCCCCTTGATGAGACTTGTGAGTCGATGCCCACAAGTTCAGGACTTTCTAAAAGCCGGGTATAGACGCCAATACAGGGCAGGAATAGAGTGACTTCTTAAAATATTATCGACATGATGTTTCAATTTCAAGCAGTAGTTACGGTAATAGTTTTGTCAGCTGATTGTTAGGTTGTTTCTTGAGGCAAGATATCTATAGGATAACACTTGACCTTTTGAACATGTTTGGCTAAATACTGATCGGATTAAGGCAAATATGGAAACTTCTGCTTGGATGTCGATAACAAACAAACAAAAAAAAAAAAAACCTACCTAACACCAGGGGCGGAACTACAGTGCCGCCAGACCCCGCAATGCGGGGGGGCCTAGACCGATTGGGGGCCCAAAAATCCCGGCTAAATTATTTAAAAAAAAAAAAAATTAGGTGGAGGTCGAGTTATCTTTCTTCTACAGTTACAAACAAACACGATAGTCGGCAAACGTCTTTGAGAAAAATGCACAGACTATATAGCTCGAGAGACCGCCAGACATAAAGTCATCTTCAAAGACGCAGCCTACCGTTCTTTTTAGTGGCGTCGATTAGGAGAACAAAAAAAGCATTGTTATATTGTTTACATTATTAAAATACATATCTATGATTGTGTGTTTAAACTACTGGCCTGAATTCTACAAAAAATATAATTATTTATTTCGATCTCATACATTTATAATTGCGTTCATTTTTACTTTAACAACTGTATCAATAAACTTGTAAAAGTTTAAGTTATCTCCCTTCAGCGAAGCATCTGAAATTTGACTGCCGGTACACTTTGAAATCGGGCTGGGGAAATGTTGCGGCGACTATCCTGGTCTTCTAGACGACCGGAAAAAGTCGGCACTATTGATGTAGATGTTCATCGGCGCTTTCTTGTCCCCTTCCAATGAACCTTCCCAACTCTCTCCCCTGCCCCCTCTCACCCCTACCCCTCACCTCTACCCCTCACCACACCCTAATAAGATGTAATGCATAGATTAACGAACCGTCTATGAACTATTGAACTGTAAACTGACCACTCCTGCACATTTTGTTAAAGACACTAGTCAGTAGTTCATTCACCCGATGAACAGGGGCGGAACTACAGTCCCGCCAGACCCCGCAATGCACGGGGGGGGGGGGGCAGGCCGTTTAGGGGCCCACCCACGGCTGACCAAAATTAATATTTTTTAAAATTTTGAATTTAATTTTCGTGCATTTTTGCCTTAATATTTGGTTTGTAAAAGAAAAACACTAGCTGCGGTACGATTATCTTTATTTTACAGTCACTATACCACGCTCTTCCGCAACAGATAAAATCCATTACACAAACTACAGTGTAAAATATAGGCAACTCTTCAAATTTGAATGATTCTTTGACTCGTTGCCCCCCACCTCTTTAATAGCTAAATAGAGGACACGTAACTGTTTGACCGACCCTCCAAAGTGTACTGTCGCGGATTAGGTAGGGAATGGGGACCAAAAAGGGGGTTCAAAAATTGTAGATTTTTTTTTCCTTTTTTTTAAACAGTTATTTATAGTTGTATTTTTTAACCATTGTCAAGGCCGAGTTCTATTTCCCTACAATCAAACACACGCTGTCGTCGGCAAAATTCTTTTTAAAAAACAACAAAGTCCATAGCACGAAAAGCCGCTACATATGAAGTGGGCTTTCGTCTTTGCGGCATTGGTAAGGGACCCCATATCCATTGTACATTTTTCAATGTTAATGTGTTTGTGATAGTGGTTGAATTTGTATCCTGTACTATCTTGCATCCTACAAATAATAAAAAAATAATTTAATACTATACTAGAAACTTCAGTTTTATATACGGTTACTTGTTTTTGCTTTTACGAGAAATATCATAGTAAATTTTTAAAGTCTATACTTGGAATAATCTCCCCTGAGTAAGTTTTAAGATGGGCGATGCTGACGTACATAGATCAAGGCGTTTTGTTGTCGCTTTCAAGTTTTTTTCCCGAGCCGACCCCTATCCCACCCCTCTTTCTCAACCTCACAAGTATCGAGGAGATAAATGTATCGTTTATGAACTACTTCCTAACCGTACGATTCAACACTTCAGCACATTTTGTCAGACACTAGACAGCACTAGATCTAGATCTA